CTCCCCCCAAATTTTGGTGTCATCAGCGAATTTAAACAGGTTACTTTCCACCCCATCATCCAGATCGCTGATGAAGAAATTGAACAGCGCAGGCCCCAGGACCGAGCCCTGGGGGACTCCGCTACCCACCTCCCCCCAGGTCGAGTATGACCCATCCACCACCACCCTCTGAGTGCGACCCCTCAGCCAATCTGCAATCCATCTGACTGTGTAGGCATCTATGCCACAGTCACCTAGTTTTTTAACTAGGAGGGGGTGAGAGACGGATAAATGTAAGATAAATATTTGCATTATGTTGTGGATTACTTGTGGCATAAATTTGACGTTGCCCAAAGATTGGAGTTTTCATGGCTGCTTTTGAGAGACTGCTTTGTGGCCTAGTAGATCTCCATCTTAAAGAAATGTTTCCTCATAGTGCACCTCAAATATTGCTTAATAGTATGCCCTTGCACCTAAACCCGTGGGCCATCCTGTCTTTTCCCTTTGTCTTTTAAATGTATTTTAAATATTTGTAGATGCTTATATTATCCACATGAACACTTGGGTTTAGTTACAGGGACCCAACTGAAAAATCTCACCCTACTTTTCAAACATATAAAAACAAAGGTCTAGGAAATGTTGGCAAACTGAGTAAAACGGATCTGAAAGTCACTGGTGAAGACTAATGGTGAAATCCCAGAAAACACTTTGATGACTTCTGTGCTCATACTACACACATTCAAATAAACGGTAAAATTCCCATTAACTGACAAAGAGACAGATCCTTCCAGATTAACTTATGCTTATTAGTATTAAGCTTTTGCCAAGCACTTCAAGAAAACTGAATAACAGATCCCTGCTAACAATCTAAAATGAGACCTAAAGCAATGATTAGAGGAAACAAAGGACAGTACTCCAGATGTGGCCTCACCAGTGTTGAATACAGAATAACCACTTCCTTTGATCAGCTGGCAACACATCTACCAATGCAGCCCAGAATGCTGTTAGCCTTCTTGGCAACAAGGGCACACTGCTGGCTTATATTCAGTTTATTGTCCACTATAACCCCCAGGTCCTTTTCTGCAGAGCTGCTGCCCAGCCAGTCAGCCCCCAGCCTGTATTGGTGCATGGGATTGCTCCATCGTAAGTGCAGGACTTTGCACTTGTCCTTGTTGAACCTCATGAGATTTCTTTTGTACCACTCCACCAATTTGTCTAGGCCACTCTGAATCCTAGCCCTACCCTCCAGCATATCTAGTATTCCCTCAGTTTGGTGTCATCTGCAAACTTGTTGAGGTGGCACTCTATACCAGCTTCCAGGTCATTGATGAAGAAATTGAACAAAACAGGCCCCAGGACCAACATCTGGGGCACTCCACTTGATACTGGCTGCCACTTAGACATTGAACCATTAATTACTACTCTCTGAGCCCAATGCTTCAGTCAATTATCTATCCGCCTTACACCCCATTCATTTTGCCTGTACTTCCTTAGCTTGTCTGTGAGAATGTTGTGGGAGACCATATCAAAAGCTTTGCTAAAATCGAAGTACATCACATCTGCTGGTCTCCCCACATCCACAGAGCCAAGTCACCTCATCACAGAAAGCAATCAGCTTGGTTAGGCAGGACTTGCCCTTGGTGAATCCATATTGAGTGCTCCTAATCTCCTTGTTCTCCTTCAAGTGCTTAAAATTGCGTTCCTTGAGGATCTGCTCCATGATTTCTCCAGGGCCTGAGGTGAGGCTGATTGGTCTGTAGTTCCCTGGATCTTCCTTTTTCTCTTTCTTAAATATGGGCACTATGTTTGCCCTTTTCCAATCATCTGGGACCTTCCCTGATCTCCATGAGTTTTCAAAGATGATGGCCAATGTCTCTGCAATCACATCAGCCAACTCCCTCAGGTGCATCCCATCAGTCCCATGGACTTGTACATGTCCAGCTTTTCTAAGTAGTCCCTAACCTGTTCTTTCATCACTGAGGGCTGCTCATCTCCTCCCTAAACTGTGCTGCCCAGTAGGGCTGTCCGAAACAGCACTGTTTCATTTCAACTTCAGTTTTGAGATCTGGAGGGAACAGTGTTTTGTATCGCATTTCATTTCGAGTTGAAACAGCTTCACTGTTTTGCTTTGTTGAAACAGTGAGGCTGTTTTGACGCTGTTTCGATGTTTTGCTCAACCATGGGCTGTGGAAAGGAACTCAGCCCAGCTGGGCTGAGTTCCCGACCCCAGCCCCATGATCGGGCAGGCGAAACTCAGCTGAGTTGACTGTCTGTCCCCTGCTGGATCTTGCACCAAGGATGGGAAGTCAGCCCAGCTGGACTGACTTCCCACCCCAAGCGCTATGGTCAAAACATTTTGACTATCCTTGTTCTGTTTTGACGGTATTTCAATGCCCTTTGTTCCGCTTTGATTTTGCTGTTTTGACCTTGAAATGAGTCGAAACTGTCGAAATGAAATGGCTGGCGAAATTTTGCACAGCCTTACTGCCCAGTGCAGTAGTTTGGGAGCTGACTTCGTCTGTGAAGTCTGAGGCAAAAAAGGCATTGAGCACTTCAGCTCTTTCTGTATCCTCTGTCACAAGGTTGCCTTCTCTAATCAGTAAGGGACCCACACTTTTCCTGGTCTTCCTCTTGCTACCAACATACTTATAGAAACCCTTCTTGTTACCCGTCACATCCCTTGCTAGCTGCAACTGCACTTTGGCCTTCCTGACTCGATCCCTGAATGCCCGAGCAGTACTCTTATACTCTTCCCTATTTGTTTGTCCAAGTTACCACTTCTTATCAGCTTCCTTTTTGTGATTAGTTTACTGAAGAGTTCCCTGCTAAGCCAAGTTGGCCTTCTGCCATACTTGCTAGTCTTCCTGTACATCACGATGGTTTGTTCCTGCACCCTCAGTCAGGCTTCTTTAAAGCAGTGGCTCTCAACCTTTTTTGTACCAGGCCCCATGTTTAAACATCGATAGGCAGTCCTGGCCCAGTGCCCCTCACTCTCGACATGCTGCCTCCTGCCCCCAGGTATGGGGCAGGGTGGGGTGTGTAAGGCATGGGAGGCCCCAAGAAGCCTCTTGTAGGCTGCAACTCTGCCAGCCTGCAATGGAAAATCTCCAATTTCCCATGTTTTTCTCCTTTAAAGGAAAATCTATTTTTAAAGTTTGTTCATGACCTTTTCATACATTCTTGCAACCCACTTTTGGGTCATGACCCACAGCTTTAAAGTACAGCCAGGTCTCTTGGACTCCTCTCCCCCTCAGTCTGGCTTCCCAGGGGATCTGCCCATAAGTTTCCTGAGCAAGCTGAATTTTGCTTTTCTGAAGTCCAGGGTCCTTACTCTGCTGCTCTCTTTCCTTCCTTTCCTCAGGATCCTGAACTCAGCCATCTTGTGGTTGTTGCTGCCCAAGTTGCCATCTACTGCTACATTCCCCACCAATTCATCCCTGTTTGAGAGCAGCAGGTCAAGAAGAGCTCAGCCCCTAGTCGGCTGCTCCAGCACTTGCACTAGGAAGTTGTCCCCATCACTCTCCAAAAATTTCCTGGATCGCCTAAGCATTGCTGTATTGTCCTCCCAGCAGATGTCAGGGGGATTGAAAACCCCCATGAGAACCAGGGCTTGTGACTGGGAAACCTCTGCTATTTATTTGAAAACAGCCTCATCCACCACTTCCTCCTGGTCTGGTGGTCTCTAGTACATGCCCACCACAACATCCCCCTTGTTGGTCTCTCCTCTGATCCTAACTTAGAGACTTTCAATAGGCTCATCTCCAGTTTCATATTGGAGCTCAGAGCAGTTGTATGACTTTTTTACATAAAGCACAACTCCTCCTCCTCCTCCTCTTCTCCCCTGCCTGTCCTTCCCGCACAGCTTGTACCCATCCATGACAGTGCTCCAGTCATGCAAGCTATCCCACAACGTCTGTTATTCCAATCACATCACATCATATGCGTTCAGAACAACTGTTTTGCAAGACCACTGGAAAACATCATATCTCTTACCAGCAACAAATATTTTGCTTTGAACAGTGAAAGTAACGGTGTAGTCTTCCATTTTGTCTGTGCAGCACTTCAGCTCCTGCTGGGTTTTGCACTTAATAAATGCTTCAATGGGATCCAGGAAAATGTTCTTCTTCAGAGGCAAAGGAACAACTTCAACAGTTGTACTGGCAGAACTTGGCAAGTTTTTTTGGAAGAATGTGCAGGTATAGGTACCTGAGAGTAACAAAACAGAAACACACCTCAGTCTATCGCAGTAGAATGCAGAACAGGACACGTAGAAAAATACCTGGATTGTTTTTAATGAACAAAAATCCCTGGATTGTATTTAGCTGTAGCTGCAGGCACAGGACACATTTACTGCATAGGAAATTAACTTTACTAGAAGCAAAATGGGGCAGCTACATGATGCACAGCCTACTGTGTAGCAAATCACTCTAATCTAGGGTACAGTTACCCTTTGAAATACATGTAGTAACTATACTATGTGGAACAGTTACTTCATAGAAGGTGCCAGGTATCCGTTGTGGGGTATCTGGACTGGCCAGGTGTTGCAGTATCCCCTACCCTGGGCATCTGAGTCTGCTTCTTACTCTGGAGAAAAATCTATAGTAAATTATTCTGGAGTAATCATGTTGAGCGTGCATGCTCTGTGTGGCTGTTTATTATGGGTTATATGCTATGGAGATATCTTGAGAGAGACTACTGAAGAAACCAGTCGGAAAAAGTGAACAATGGCCCTGAGACAGAGCATCTCTGCAAATACTCAGATCCAGAAGGGAAGAGAAGGGATCAAACTAGGGAAAGACTATGGATCTGGAAAAGAAAGGGAAGGGGGAAGAGGTTGTTTTGCCATAAGGGTGATAGACAGATGCGGGGAGAGGTAGAAACTGCAGGCTGTCTCTAAGTAAGTCCTATGCCTGCAGATCAGGAACAGGTAAAAAGTTAGGTAAGATCCACATGGTTCAGTGTTATCTTTAGCAATGTGCATGACTGCTGCAGCCCTGCTGCCAAAACGAAGCTGTGTAGTTTCTATGTATTACACCATTAATCACAGCTCTTAGAGAGGCACCAACAGTACAAACCGTATTTAGACTGTAAGTATCCAGAGCCTATGACCTGGATCCTGGTCTACAGGTTGGCATATTGCAAAACTCCACCTCAGGAGAAGTTGGCTGTGGAAGAACAGCCAGTGACACCTCGAGGGAGGACAGTAATACTGTGTGGCAAGTAATGGTGACACAGTTGTTGTATACAACTTTTCTAAGCTGCTGTTCAGCAAAACGTTAAAGTGTGGCCCAGTTTTAATCCGGCAAGTAGTCCCGGTAAAGGCATTCATGCCACTAGAATCACTTCAGTTCTTTTGAAAATCCCACTAAGCATCTATCTGCCTGCTTTGGTGCCTAAATACCTCTGTAAATTTGTCCCTGGGGAGTCAGTCTTGCTGAAAGTCAAATTGGACTGCTCAGGCCTGGACACTGGAAATATTTAGGTGAGTTAAGTTACTCTTATTTCAGCAGCCAAATGTTTGTGGATCTGGGCCTATGTGACTATGGGCTAAGTTCTGATTGACTTCTAAACCACCTCCAGTTGGGACTCCTAGTTTTCCAGTGGTTTGGTAACACGAGTTGCCCATGTAAACCAGGATTTGGAGCCTGCACTCACCGTTCCACTCCGGCGTAGCAGTCTTTACTGTGAGATTAGACACGGCTTTCTTCATGATGGTGTAAGTCTGGATGTATGGGTCGCCTTCTATTGTTGTATTAGTGGTTCCCGTCTGGATTTGCCAGCTGACTTTATTGTAATTCGGCACGTTACTGGTGCACGTTAGCGAAAAACTGAATCCCTCAGAGACACTTGTGGGTGGAGGTATCGTTACATGTGCTAGAAAATTAAGATAAATGACACATTATTAACAATGGCTTGTCATAATTAGTCTTTTGTCTGTGGTGCCATACGCAGGCCATACACAATAGGGAGAGGCAGCTCCTGCCCTGCGGTACTCTCAGGAGGTTCCTTACCTGTTTGTAAATATGTCACTCCGATGGATTTATTTCTCTGGGCCCCATTCCCAGTGCTCAGCTCACATGTGTATGTTGTCACAGCACCTGACTTGCTAGTGGGGCACTGGAAATCATAAATTTCAAGGAGATATTGAGTACAGTTGTCCTTGATGCTTTGAGTCCCTAGGGTAAAATAAATAAAGTTGTTTCTGAGGTCTCTCATATCCACAAGGACTTATGCTGCTGTGAAAAAGGCTTAAGTATCGAAACATTTTCTTTGGCAGTTTTTTAGATGGCACATCCTGAAGTTCACATTCAGCCTTTACTCAGGCAAACTTCACAGTGGCATAGAGTTCAGGATTGGACCCAAATTGCACAAGCTAGTAGTGACCCTGAAAAATGACCAAGCATCTTAGACCTCTTCTCCCACAACTAGGCAATCCTTACTCATGATGAGCAGAGCATATTTAGACAGTGGCGGCGTAACAAGGAGGCTGGAGCACAGAGTAATTGCCAAGCAAAGGGAGGCTTTTTGATTGCTAATGTGCAGCGCAATTGCACAAATAGCGACCATTTTTTTCTGCCCTCTCTTATTCAAGTCAGCACCTGGGGCAGCTGCTCCAGTCACCTTGTCCTAGTTATGCCACCTATTATTTGACTGCAGTCAAAAAATGTCAAATAGTTCATGAAGTCAAGAATGCCAGTAGATAGGCCTACCTTTTTATTGCATCACTGTAAGCAAGGGCAGGTGTAAGGGCTCCTTGCTGCTCAGTCCTGCAGGAGTCAGGACACACACGCGCATGAGCACACACACCCACACGCACACGCACACTCTCCCCCTCTCTCTCTCTCTCCGTGAGCAGATACCTCTTGCCCTACTCCTCTTACCTGAGCTCTTCTACCCTCCTTCCCCTTCCCCCAGTAAGCCAGGTAGGACTGCAGGAGCTACTCTGGGCTGAAGGAAGAGCCCAAAACCAACAGCATAGAAAAGCTTCCCCTCCTAGCCATCTGCTCTGACTGCAGGCATCCTGCAAAGAGCAAGATGCTTGAAACATTGGCCTCCTACCTACATAGCAGAGCTGCATTAAAGAAGTGATTTTAAAAGCTGCTATTTGTGTTTTCTCTCTTTTTCATTTCTTTTCTAATACATTTCGTAAGTGTTTAGGCTGACTGTGGGCTTTTGGGATAAAAGCCAAGGAAAAGAAGAACTGTTCAGTCTTGAAGATCATTCCCATTTACACTTATCTAACACTGATTAATTCATCATAATTTATTAGAATTTAATTTCATCGTTTCACGATAGCCATTAACTAACTTTTTTTTTGTAGTTAGCTAAAGTATCTATCCTATTGAAGATTAAAGTCTCTCTTGACATTGTTCAAAGAAATTCATGCTTAGAATTTGTGATCATTATTTAATACTATTTGACTGGTCAGTTGACTAACTATTTTTTGACTGATCAAGTACCCAACCCTGCTTGGATGCATGAGGGGAAGTTAGCAAGAAGGGTTTCAGATTCAGACCCTAAATAAGTATTTGCAGTAACACAGCCTCAAATATCATCCATTTGAACACTTACAGTTTCCAACCCTCTTTGGCAGCTGCAGCTGGCATAATTTAGAGCCGTCCCAATCAGCTATCTCAGTGTGATCCTCAAAGTAGACTTACATCAAGCATGAGGTAAAAGGGGATGTTTAACCTGGTTTTGTGCACCACCCCTCAACTTATGCTATGCATACAAAACAGCTGCATGTTTTCAGGTGCAAATACAGAGGGGAGATTTGGTATGGAAAAGAGTGTTTTTGAACTTACCTGAAATACGTAATCCGCTTACATGCCACCTTACATTAAATGACTGTAAACTTCTGTCAGTGCAGCAGGTGAGCAAGACATCGACCCTCTCACATACAACATCAATATTATCCGATGGTACAATGTTTATTGCAGCAACTGTTAAATTGTGGGTTGCTTTGTACAACACGTTGGAGGGTACAGCATGATCTTTAAACACGCATGTATAGGGACCTGTAAGGACATTTGGTTAGTCAGTTGGAACATTGTTTTGGGGGGAACAACAATACTGCACATAGTACTCATGTCTTCCAGACCCATCTCCTCCTGTGTACATCTCTCCGCCTCTTCCTTTCAAGTATACTCGTTGCCCTTCTTCCTGCTTTCTCACACCAGACTCCTTTTGGCCTTCTGCCCCACCCGGACGGCAGGATTGTTCTCAACTTCTTGTTTAAGCCCCACCTGTCCTCCTGTCACACTGCCGTGCTCCTCCTAGCACATAGCCGTGCTCCTTCTAGTACACTGCCATGTTCTTTGTCATTTCTTGCTTTGATTACTGGCACCTCATCTGCTCTGCCCTCTTGCATTCTCAACTGTCTCCTTAATCAGGGCCAAACACCGTATTTACTCAGATCCAAGATGAGGTTCTCCCCCCAACCTTGCTATTCAACATGGTGTGGGGGGGAAAGTGCCCCATCTTGGATTTGAGCACAATTGGGGGGTGGGGAGGAGGGCAGGTGGCTGCTGCAACTCCAACTGTAGCCCCAACCCAGGCTTGGGATTGGCATTGCAGATGTTGCCCTGCTACCTGTTCCCCACAGCCTCTGCTCCCTGCCACTGCCTTTGTCTCCCCCTTACCTCTTCCCCCCCTGCTGCTGCTTGACATGCTGCAGCAGCTGGGGAGATGAATTTTAGCACTTTTACACATTTTCCGTGTTTTAAATCTAATTATTGGGGGATTGCCTTAAATTCAAAGTCATCTTCGATTTGGGTTTATATGATACAAATGCAGAAAACCTTGCCTATTGCTGTGATCATGTTCAGCCTCTCTCATATTTAGCTTTTATGCAGAAATGCTCCCTGCAGATCGTAAAGCAATTTGCAAAGGAAGTATCATGGCTCCAAGATTTCACAGGTGAGATGGAGTGCCTTGTTCATCACACAGCAGGTCAGCATCAAAATCAGGACTGCAACTCAAGTCAAGAGTCTTAACCCCCAGACTAATGTCCCTCCATGTTCTTTCTCTCCCTAATACTAAACACTTATATATCACCTATTCGTATAGTGTCACAAACATATTAATTTATTACATAGCCTTAAGGTAGCATCTTCCAAGGTGTTATCTTGGCACTCTGTGGCTGTTTCATTAAAGCAAAGCAGAGATAAGTGCTGGGAGACACTAGATTTTCCTTCTATTTTTATAAATGAAATCAAAGAATCATAGAGAAGTAAGGGCTGGCAAGGACCTAGAGAGATCATCTAGTTGAACACCCTGCCCTGAGGCATCCCTATCCAAAATGCAAATCACCCCTTCCTCCTCCAGATGCTTGCAAATGGCTATCCTTAGCATACGCTCCAATAACATCACAGGTACGGAGGTGAGGCTAACTGGTCTGTAGTTCATTTTTGCCTTTTTGAAAGAGGAGCAGTACACTGGCCCTTTTCCAGTCCTCTGGGACCTGGCCTGTTTCCCATGACTTCATGCAGATCGTTGTCAAGGGCTTCGAGATCTCCTCTGCCAGTTCCTTCAGGACCTTGAGATGAAGCTCATCTGGCGCTACTGCCCCCGCCCCTTTCTGATACATGTGTCAGGGTGTTTTTAAGCCTCTCTGGAGTCATTAAGTGCTGGCTGCAGCTAAGGCTGGGGACTTCAACTGGGGTGTGCCAATTCTCCTGCTAGGAGTCAAGCCAGAGGTTCCTGGCTAGAGTTTTTCCCCTCCACTCAGGGTCAGACTGATCGCCATATCTGGGGTCAGGAAGGATTTTGACCCCCTGGTCAGATTGATACAAACTGTGTGGCAGGGGGGAGGGCAGCTGGGGGCAGCATGGCCCTTTACCCTGGACCTCTTGAGCATATATTGACAACATTGTATAGAAGAAGGACATTGGCTGCTGTGGTTCCCCTGCTTTATCTGTGGCAGGTAAGGATGCTAGGTCTGTGTTGTGTCCGGATTGAAAGTAGTCTTATGTAGAGTTACAGCTTTATGGGATGGTTTGAATAGAGGTGATCCTGCCTCAGGTAGGCGGTTGGACTAGATGACCTCTGGAGGTCCCTTCCAGCCCAACGTCTCTCTGATTCTATGACCGAACAATCAGGAAATGATCATGCTCATCTTTGTTTCTCTACAAAATTACTCACAGCCCCTTTGCATATATAGATTTAGCAAGAGCCATATAATCATACCACTGTCACTCTGTACAATGCTGGTAATTTTCAGTGCTGAGATTAACGTTTCTGTTGCGACTATTGTTTCAATTGAATGTCGGTCACTTTGTGAAACTACTTGTCCAGAATGATCCCAAGTTACGATCCCGGAAGCTATCTTTGTCCTGCATGCCATTATTACTGTATCCCCCTCGAAAAGGTCCTCAGGAAACACAGATAAGTTTGTTTGATCTGGTAAGGCAACAAGAAGTCTGTTGTATTGGTATTACTTCAACCAGTGCCGTAGCAACAAAGCAGAGCCCTTGGGGAAAAGGTACAACGGTAGCCCACCTTCGCCCCATGCACAGATCCCCCATGCTTGCCTGGCAGTACATGCAGCAGTGGGAGCCATCCTTCTCCCATCCCCATGCCCCCCAAATGAGCTGCTTGACCCACCCCAGCTAGGCAGTGCTTGTTGGTGCCCTTTCACTTCAGTGCCCAGGGTGGTCGCCCCACTAGCCCTGCTCCCGCTATGGCACTGACTTCATCTCATATTGACTCAGTGCCTCCTGTCCCAAAAAAACCCCAAATGCTTTGCAAACTAGATATGGTCAGCATCACTGAATTTTATAGCACTGATATGCATTTACCTCTACAAGGCATCATATGACGTATGACAGAATAATGCCTAGCCATTGAATAAAATAATGCCAGTGGATGCTGTCCTGTCCCCGATTGCTCTGATTGCTAAAATGACTTGCCCACAGTGAGCCACCAGGACAATGATAGGTTTATGCAAAGACTCCAAATCTCCTGAGTCACAATACCACACTGCCTCTCATGATAGTGACTGGTTTCTACCAGTGGACTGGCAATGTTGGTCAGAGATACCACTGCAAATCCCAGCCCTGGTGAAATGTATTTTGAGAGTCTTACCAATCCGGCAAGTGCTGGGGATCTGACCTGTGCTGCCTCAGTACTCAGCCATTAGCATATGAGGTTCTGTCATGATAACCCCTCACCATGAACTGCACAATATTCAGCTTATCTCCCATGGAGGGACTGTGCTGGGATTTAGTGATGAATTTACAGGAATGTTGTTGTCCTGGGAGACACTGGGGGTAAATGTTCTTGGCTAGCCAAGTCTTTCATTTCATTCCCTTCACAAAAGCTGAGCTCTTTGGAAGATCTGGTCTAATGTATTCAACAGCAAGAGACAGTTGTATATACATTGCCTGCAAATGTGAAACTAAATTCATAGTACAAGTGCTGCAGCTTAAGTCTTACCAGTTATTACTGCTGAAACAACAAAAGAATCAGGGTTGATCATATAGGATGCATTTATTGACTTCACTACATCTCTGTTGGCATTTTCAAGTTGGTCTAATGTCACTGAAGCTGTTTTTACATCATAGTCCACAGAAACATTTCCAGACCTAAACAGATACAAGCATTTAAAGAGTAGTTATGTTTTAGGAAAGTGCTAATACTTGTCTTTTAGGGCATGTATGGATGTGTGTTGGGAATTGTGGGGGAGAGGGGGAGTGCTTTGAGAGCTGCTCTAATTAAAGTGCCTGGAGTATCACGTGTATCAGTGTCCCCATGGTGAAAAATGATGTTGGGGATGCTTTAACTAAAGCTCGTCAAACTAGCTTTAGTTAAAGCACCCCTGCTGCCATTTTTCAGCACAGGGATGCTGATACACATGACGCTAGAGTTTGCTGGAGTGAGGTAATTACCATGCTCCAGCAGACTCAGTTAATCAAGTCTGCTTTAACTAAAGCTAATTAAAGCTTTAGTTTAACATGTGTCCCTGTACTGAAAAATGGTAGCAGGGGCACTTTAACCAAAGTTTGTTTGACTAAGGCTGTAATCACAGCATGTCAGAGCAGCCTCACTGCATGTGTATAGGTGCTCTTAGTCAATATTTCTTATATTCAAAGCTGAGAGCAAACAAGCTGCCTAGGGAAGCTGGGGAATCTCTTTCATTGGAGGTTTCCAAGGGAAGGATGGACATGCATATGACAAGGGTGATGACAACAGTGACTCTCAGGTCCTGTCTGACCACCTGATTCTGAAATCAACTAATGGGACTGTACGACCCTCTCATGAGCTGTTTTTGAGTTCACATACATTGAATGGAATACACTTGTGCTTTAGAGGTAGCAGGAGGCCCAAGAATAGCCTTGGTCCTGTTTGGAGCGTTGAAGCGGTACAGAAGCCATTGTACAAGCACCATTTTCATGCTAACTTTGGAGATTCCCATCTGTCTGCATTCCTACTGGGACGTGTCTATGGCATCTTTGCAGAGGTCTCAGGAGCTCTGCTCTTGAGTGCAATGCATCCACCTTCTCTGCAGGTGCTAAATCTGGAAGGGATGTAGCAGAGCCCCTCTCCAGGCATACTTCCTCCGCTGTTGACATGCTCAAGGTCTCTGTCTCCAGCATGCTTCAGAGCATCAACAGAACAGCTTCATCTCCTCATTCCTGGCAGTTGGTGTAGGTACAGTGGGGGTGGAGAGGTGGAGCTTGCCGGAAACCAGAGCTTCAGAGACCTCTGCAGAGACAGCATGGGGACCTCACCATTGCATTCAGCCCCAGAAACTATTGCCCAGTTCTGGTCAACTCCTGTTTTGGTGTTTCCTTGGGAAAGCATGCAAACAATACACCCAGACAAAGGCAAAGCTGAAACACCCCATCAAACACCAAGGCAAAGGGGCTCTTGTTTGTCTGCAAAAAAACCTAGTTTCCTTACCTGAAGCCTGTAACTGTGGTTGATATAAAGCCAGGCAAATGTTGATAGGCATTTTTAAACTAGAAAGAAGAAACACAGTGCACAATATGAATCCTCTGCATGTTTTGACAGAGCTTAACATATTTCATTTCTAATCAGAGCACTGACTTGGTCAAAGAATCAGTATTCACTCTGATACAATTTGGTCGGTGCCTGTTTCACGTCCACTGATTTCAATGGAGTTATTCCTGATTTAGACTATCTTAATGGAGATTAGAATCAGGGCATATTATTTTGCATTTGAAAGCTTGTCTGCCTCTGCCCCAACTATACAGTTGGCCCAATAAAAGAAATAATCCTTAGGAATAATTTGACATTTTCAGTGTCTTTTATGCTGGAGCATCCTGAATACTTTACTGTGTACCTGCTTCAGTGAAATCAATGGCAATTTGCTCATAGATAATGGGAGTGGGAGATGGTTATCATGGGACTTGCACAGGTCACCTTCTTAGTGTCTTTGGTCTTCCAACATCCCTGTGAGACAGAAAACTGCTAATGGGCCTGTTTTATATAGAAAGAACTGAGACAGATATGTCCACATTGAACATGGTATGGGATTGTTAACTTTGTACAAGTGCCAAATACAGGAATTATGTAGCAAAGTGCTGTTTAGGTCTGTTAAATGAAACAGGATTCTGCATCTGGCCTCTGTTTCCTATTTTGCTATGGGCCTGCTGGGTGACTTTGGCAAAGACACTTCTGCGTATGCCTTGGTTTCCTCAGCTGTAAAATGGGGGGACTAGTTACCTTCTCGGTGAAGTCCTTTAGATCTGCAGATAAAAAGGACTATACAAGACCCAGGTATTATTAATGTCTACTAAGTTTCCAAAAATAGATATGTTGAGAAATTCTATTACTAGCAGTCAATGCTATAGGTTCTTGCTTGCTTTTTAAATTTGATTTATTTTTTACCAGTCTTTGCATCTACCAATCACCAGGGTGTATTTTTTAATGCTGCCATTATTCATCAAGCAAGAAACCCACTCACTGGACACCAGCTGCTAACAGAATGAAGAGAAATATCTTTTGCAAATTAAATTGATTGTAAAAGCCAAAGACGTACTGCATATTCAAAGTCGCGTTTGTATTTCATATAGAGATCAGAAGAGGTATTCCTGAGGGCATCTTGAAAATTTATATTGAGTTTGACTGACATTTTTATTGTGATGGACTTGTTCATAGGCGGGACGTCTGTAGAAAACACAAAACAAAACAGAAATTTTCAAAATAAAATTCTCTCAAGGTCAAGTCATCTCCTAGCTTTGTGTTCAAATTTCTTTCACTTTCCATTCATGCCCAGATCTCTCAGCTTGCCAAGACTTGGTTGTCTGACAAATAAGGCAAAGTGCATAGTTCATTGGAAATAATGGAAAGACTCCCTCTTCCAGGCCCATATTGCTGGGCTAAGACCCAAACCAATGGATAAAAGAGAATGCAAGGTGCTTAACATGCTGTGGGATTTTCTGATCATGGGCTGTCAGAGAGGAGTGCAATCCTTCTGAAAACTGTACCTCCCTTTGTTTTAAAACTGTGGAGACAGGAAAGGTGATATTATATTTTCGCCTGGTTATCTACATTTCCAAATTTTGTCATCTTCATGGCCATCAAAGGGCCAACAAAGCCAAAAAGTCATAGAAGAGTAGAGTTGAAAGGATCTCAGAAGATCAGCTAGTCCAACTCCTTGCTCAAGGCAGGATCATTCCTTTCTAAACCATCGTATACAAATGTCCATCTAGCCTATTCCAAACAACCCTCTTGCACAGTTACCAGGCATAATGCCCCCAAACACTGAAAATGTCATGACTTGCCACGGGTAAAGCAAGAGGATGTTCTGCCATTGCAGGTCTGTTAAAATACACTGGAGAGATCCAAGGAAGAGGCTCACACTCCCTGTTATAGAGGAAGGCAAAACCCCTCTCAGTCCAAGCTGATCTCACCATGGGGTACAATTCCTTCCTGGCTTCAAATGCAGTGATCAGCCTGACCCTGAGCAGGGGAGCAAGACCTTTTAGTTGGGAAAGGCAGAGCCATGTAGAAGACCTAAGCTGGTGCTTAGATGACTAGGATGGGAACTGAATGTCACCCCAAGCCCTAGAAGGCAAGATTTGATTTGGCAGTTGGGATCCTAAGTGTTTCAAGAAATCATGAGTCAGGTGTCATCATGTCACGAGTTTGGCTAAAAAGTCATGAATTTTAAAACAATAAAAACAGTGGGTTCCTCTTACCTTCTGTTTTTTTAGAGTATTTGGTCACATTTTTAAGTCTTCCTCTGAAGTCCTGATAAGCAGAAACTTACTTTGTATTCATGAAAGCTGAGATACCCATGTAATCCCATGAGTCCAGGAGTGGGGGGCTTCAGAGAGAACACCAAACATCTCAAGACTCATGATTAAAATCATGAAAGAGAGCAATACTGGATCATGATCCAATTGAAGCCACTTGGCTCAAAATGTAGCATTATATACTGGGATGTGTATTCAGCAAGATGGGATTTACAATTAAAAATATGAGTCACAACACATCCCGTAGTGTAGCTCCATGTATCGTGTTTGATCCATGTGCCACATTTTGGCCAGCACTGATATATAGTGACATCCTATCTCTCTCCTAATCAGGTTTCATACTGTAAGATGATCAACACAACCATACATCCTTCTTACTTCCAGGCTGTGGCTGACATAAGGTCCTTGAAAAGGCAATTGTATAATACAGCCACAGGTCTCCTCTGGCGCTAGGGTGGTAGAGGGACAGGTTGCATTGGCTCGGTATGCTGCACCTGGCCATTCATACCCCTCTTCACAAAAACAGCAGATCATTTTCCCCATGGAAATACACACTAGTGTCAAACAGAAAACCTATGATAGTGGTGGGTTAGAGGCTAAATTTTGCATATCACAATTCCCTTAGACATATTTACCCAGCTATACTATTTTCAAAATGTTTAAGCAGTGCAGGAGGTATACGAATGCCTATATGATGGCTTGTATTATTAATTACAAATGGCAGACTAAAAAGGCATGTCACACTTGTTCAAGGATCAGTTTGATTTACTGTAAGTGTGACATTTATTTAAATATATAGCACAGACTGAAAATTTCCCCAGTGCCAACTTCTAGGTCTGTTGTCTTTTATCATAGATAAAAGCCCCAGGATCAATTTAAGGTCAGCTATTAACCACTGGATCTAAAAGCTGGTAACACTGGTTTTCTATGACACACAGAGCTGGATCATATTCTATATATCTGGTGTCTAATTGTGAGTTCCTGAAAAACAGCTCACGCCAAAGGGGGATGGGTCCTGCTCACTGCTTTTTTGTGCCTTAGTCTTAAAGCTGAGATGATGTGCTACAAAAGTAGGCACTTTTTAGGAACATGAGGGTAGAATAAGATCACACTTAAGTGTTTAATAGATGGAACAGAATCTGGTCTCTAGGGTTTTTGTCTAGTAATGCTGGTTAATAAGAAACCGACCATTAAAATTATAGCACATGTCTCTCTCTTGAACTTTAAAATGCAACATGATTTCAATAGGCATGAAGTTATGCATCCTTCATACCACTGGCTGCTAATCTGAAGTTAACTCTCCAAGCGACAATTCTCAAAGTGACAACAGAACAGATGGCCAAAATGGTTTTAGTAAATCAGATATAGCTCAGAAATACTTTGGAAACCAGCACACACATTGCGTGCTGGTATTTTGTGCAAGTATGCACTTCCTTCCACTCCTCTTGGACCTGAGATAAGGAAGAAGAAAACAAATTCCAGACCCAGAACTATTATAAATACTTTGCATGCTTATATGTTATCAAATATATTAATTAGTCAACATATTCTGTGGCTCTGATTTTGCATAATAGCAGCAGAGGACAAAGCCTCTACAGAGCATTGTCCTTTAATATTGCCTTTAGGATTTCCATCAGGAAAAAAATTTTGCCTGAAAAATGGTTGTTCTTGTTAGGGTTAAAACAAAGCCTCTTTGAGTGACTTACATTCCAACTGTGAGTTTGTGGGAAGTAAACACTACATTAATCAGAGCTCCAGCTTCCTGAATTGTTAATCAGACTACTTCTTCATAAAAACACAAGATGCTTTAGCATGGGGTTTCTCTGATCTGTCCCTTCTGCGGGAACAGAGCGCCATTCGGCATACTGCCTGCGGCAGTGTTTTGTGAAGCAGCAATGTGGAAGGCAGAGGACAGAACATGCTGTCATCTGTTCATGTCTCTGAACCGGCAGCTCTGCTCTTACTGATGTCTACATGAAAATGCAAAGGCAATCAAATCATGGACAAACCCCTGTACTCCACAAGACATACAGATAACAAGAGACGCACCTATTGTAACTTTTGAAATGGTTATCATCGAATCCGAGGTGTTTATTGAGATTGGCAGACTAAGGTTCTTGAAATAATCTTGGGTTGGTGTCAGTGGACTTGTGAAACTTAATCCAATATTGACAAGGTATGCCGAATGGGACTGTGGAGCTGTGGAAAGAAATATGATGAAACTGAAATGTCATGTGTTAAAGTGGATTATAATAACAGACTTGCAACCTGATTTCTCTATTGTTCACAGCTGTTTAACAGTAATGATAGCTTAATGAAAGGTTTTGCCTGGGCAAATGGCTATCAGTCAGGCCCCTTTTTTCAGCAAATGGTGCATGTATCTGCATGGGAGTGCTCTCTCTGCCTACTCAGCTGACCAAGGGCCTGGTCCTCTCTTTGAACCTCAGGCACAAAGGATGGAAAGCAACAGAAAAATAACTTATATGGCCTGAAATCTGTCAAAGTGAAGGGGGTAGAGTTAAAGTCCCCTTTGACACAAAGAAACACATGGGCTGTGCCTCACAAATGATTATCCATAACCCAGAACTGCTAAGGGCTCCCTCCATGCTTGATCGCTGCAATCCACACTATTGAGAAATGAAGCCCTGAGAAAGCTGCTCTTCTGTCACGCACAAGGAACCACTGGCTCTTCAGGTCAGTGATACACACCCTGCCGCTTCTGCCTCTGCGGCATGGTTTGAAAGTTGTCCTCTTCAATTCCATTTTCACCGGTCAACTGAAAGAAGAAAAGCATAGTTAGAGCCATTGCCATTTGTTTTGTTGCCAGAAAGCCAATCTGAACGGTTCAGAAATTATCTTCTCATCTTTTCACATAGTAACACAAGCAGTGACATAACGCTAAGTAGGGCTGTGCAGGGCTTCAGACTGTGCTTCAGATCCGGAGAAGCTTTGGACGCTTTGGTGTCTGAAGCAGCACATCCGGGTTGAAGCGCTGGCTTTGTTCGGCTTCCCGAAGTGGTTCGGAAAAGATTCGGAGCCGCTTCAGAGATCCGGCTATAGGGTATAAAGGGGAATCAATGAAATATCTATAACTTGGTTGCTTTTTGTCTTATTTGGATGAGATTTGTAAGGATGGTAGCCTCTGCTAAGAGCATGAAGTATGCCAAGTCTCAAGAAGATTGGTGTAGGGCTTCAGGGGGAACTGCACCCCAAATATTTGAAAGCAAAACTTGTGTCACGTCTATGCATTACAACACATGCGGGTGAAAACTGCAGGGGTAGTGGCCCCTGGTGAGGCCAAAAAGCTTGCCAAGTTTCAAGGTGATAGGTGCAAGAGGTTGGGGGGAACTGCACCCCAAATTCTTGAAAGCAAAACTCATGTCACGTCTACATGTTACAACACGGGGGGGGAGGTCAAAACTGCAGGGGTGGTAGACCCTGGTGAGGCTACAAAGCCTGCCAAGTTTCAAGAATATCGGTGCAGGGGTTGGGGAGGAACTGCACCTCAAGCTGCCGACAGGCAGAACTTGTGACATAAATGACCCTGTGTGTGTTAAAGTGCAGTGGGCTGAAAATTGCAGGGGTGGTGGCCCCTGCTCAGGCCACACAGCCTGCCAAGTTTCAGGGAGATAAGTGCAGGGGTTTGGAGGAAACTGCACCTCAAGCTGTGGACAAGCAAAACTTGTGACATGGGTGACAGTGTGTGTGTTAAGGCGCAGCAGGGTAAAAGCTGCAGGGATGGTAACCCCTGCTGCAGCCATGAAGCCTGCCAGCTGTCGAGGAGATCGGTGCAGGGGGTTCTGGGGCCCTGTACCCCTAGCTGCTGACAGGCAAAACTCGTGACATGGGTGCTTGTGCAACTGACTGTCTCTGTGTTGGGGACAAACAGACTGTCTTGAAGAGCTCACAACCTCATTTTAAATGGGCCCAACTAATAGCAGTACAAAATGGGGGAGGTGGGACAAGGAGTGAAAAGGCTGAAGTAATAAGATTATGTTTTTTATTTTCTACACAAACATCTAGAAGGCTCGGTTAACTGATTTTTATGATAAACTAGCCTATCGTATTTTTGTAGGTAAACCTTTTCTTATGTAATAACGTAATACTTTGCATTTAAAGCTCCCTTCTTATGTCAAACCCAACATCAAAACTTTCATTGATTTAAGTTCCAAGAAGATTAATCCTATTATTATAGATTAAGTAGAGGTGAACATGTTTATTAAAGACAACTATCTTTAACAAACTCAATAAACTCTTTCTTATTAAAGAACCAAGCAAGAGCGGTTGCTCCCTAACGAAAGGAAGACTCCAGGCTGTCAAATGACAGATGATGAGAGACAACCGGTGCAGAGACTCCCACTTGAATGCATTTTAATTACAGAATGACTCCATTCCACAGGTCACCTGGAAATTCACTGAGGCCAGAACAGCAGGGAAAGGCTGACTCCGCAGTCAATGAACAAAATTTGGTGAAAGATGTGAATTAAAGTTATGAAGCTTCAAAAATAACCCACATGTGTAATCCAGTGTAATGCATCTATACAGGTTTATACGATGGAAGATAAGCCTGATTTATTAGGCCTCTGCCACTGTAATATCTGCTTCCAGTAGTCTTTCATGTCTTTATTCTTATAACACATCCATGAGGTAGGTAAGTGCTATTATTCCCATTTTATACATTTAGACTGACTAAAGGCTAAGGCCCAGATTCTGAAAGAGATTGACATGGTCTAGTTCCTGTATAGTTGGAATTCAGGTGCATTTATCTCAGGGGCAGATTTTACATGGCCCCTCCAACTCTCATCTTCTATGATTCTATGAGAGACAACAAAGGATAAATATGACAGAGAGACAGAGATATCTATAGATATATAGAGAGATATATCCATATATCTATATAGAAATAGATATCTATATCTATATCGATATAGATATTAGGGCTGTGTGAAATGGCACCGTTCCATTTTCACTTGCGTTTTGAGGTTTTGACGGAACAGCGTTTTATTTTGAATTTCGTTTTGATTTGAAACTGCTGTTCCATTTCGTTTCATTGAAACGGTGATGCTGTTTTGATGTTTTGCCCATAGGCTATAATGGGGAAGCTTGAAATAGCCTTTCTCATCCAGCAGGCAGATTGGGCCCCCACTCCGGGAGGGCTGCGGGGGATCTGCCTGCCAGATGAGAGAGGGATGCCACCTGAGACCAGGGAGCTGGGGAAGAGAAGTGAGGCCCATCACTCAGTTCCCCTCCCCAGCGCTGGGATCAACTGGGGAAGGGAACTGGGGCTGAGCTGAGCACTACCATCAGGCTGGGGAAAGGAACTCAGCCCAGCTGAACTGAGTTCCCCTCAGTGCGACCATTGGGCTGGAGCAACGAGGTCAGAGGGGAACTTTGCTCAGCTGGGCTGATCAGTCTTCCCCAACCCAATCATCGAGCTCAGTTCCCTTCTCCAACACGACTGCAGCACTGGGGAGGGGAACTGAGCTGGGGCTCAGTTCCTTTCCTCTGCACTCTGATTGGCTTCCCATAGGTGGGGAGAGCCAGGGCTATGCTCCCTGCCTGGCTGAGCCCGGAGCCACTGGAAGCACAGCCCTGGTCCTCCCCTGTCTCCCACCCCCTGGCTGCTTCGAAACTTGAAACATTTTGAAAGTTTTAAAAAGTTGCGACTAGCCTCATTTTGTTTTGAGGCTGTTTCAAAGCCCTTTGTTTCATTTTGATTTCACTGTTTCGAGCTCAAAGTGAGTCGAAACAGTGTCGAAACGAAACAGCCAGTGAAATTTCGCACTGCTCTAACAGATATCTATATCGATATAGATATATATATCTGAACACAAGCTGTGCACACACTTGCTTGGTAATGTAGAACTGTATGATTATATGGATGAGAAATTATATGGTAAGGAATTACTCCAAAAATTTAGAGTGCTTCAGCCAAAGATTTTTGCTGTTTACTCTTACACGAGTTCATCACTAAAATAGAAGATAAATCTATAAAGTGGAATGGTTGATTGTCTATGTCTTGTTGAACGACGACAGACTAAAGAGTGTTCGGTGCTCTGCAAATATCAACTGGTTTGACAGGCGCTCTACAGGGCATAGATCACTTATACTGGCTAATTATCAGGGGCAAATTCCACTGTGTTTTACTAGGTGTGCGCATTTGGCAATGACTAATTGTGCTTGAACACATGATGAATTAGTGTTTTATGAACAAATCAGTGGGATGCTTGCAGGGATTCAGTGTATCAACTCTAAGAACTTTATGGTGAGGCCCCAAGGTCTGGAACAGCCTGCCATCGGAGGTGGTTCAAGCACCCATAGTGAACACCTTCAAGAACAAATTGGATGCTTATCTTACTGGGATCCTATGACCCCTGCTGACTTCCTGCCCTTTGGGCAGGGGGCTGGACTCGATGATCTTCTGAGGTCCCTTCCAGCCCTAATGTCTATGAAATCTATGAAGTTGACCCTAGGATGAATTAACTCAATTTGACTGTAATTGATTTTACAAGGTAGGCAGCTTCAGAACAAATTAAGAGACTCATGCCAGTAATCCCAAGAACCTGTTCGTTAGAGCACCTAGCTGCAAGGTGCAAGACCTGCCTCCCACTGCTTGCTAAAAATCAGGCAGAACAGAGGTTCAAACCTGGCTCTTCTGCCCCCAGACAAGTGCTTTAGTTGTTAGGAGATTGAGTATGTGAGGAGAGAATGGTTCTTAGCTAGTTGTCTTGTGTCAGGGGTTAGATTCAGTGAGAGCTCACCAGGCTGGGGCCCACCACCAAGGCAGGTGGAGGAGCCTCTTGGCTGAGATTCCTGCCAGGGCTTGGTCTTTAGGTAGGTCGCTCAGCAACTTGGGTGCATCAAAGCATAAGTAGCTTGGCATATGCTCACCAGTGGAAACCTGGGCACCAGCTGGATGGGTGTTTTGAGGAGCTCAGCTGTGCCAAACGCAAGGCTCACAGGAAGTCTATGGCACAGTAGAGAAGTGAACGTAAGAAATAGGGATCCTCCATCTCCATAGACAATTGGCCTAGATGAGCCTGAGGTCCCTTTTGGTCTTATGAATTTATGGTTGCCCCTAGCTCAGGCACTAACCGCTAGGCCAAGTTTCCTGCCACTAGAGCCCCCCTCTGCATCAATGCGGGGGCACGACAGAGTCTTTTCACAGCAGAGAGGGGAAGTCGTAGCAGTAGTGGGACGATGCTGCCTGCGAGTCCCCTGCCCCATATGACTCCTGCCAAGGATATGGATGCAGAAAGGGGGAGCTTGGGCTCCTGGAAGCTTCAGACTGAAATAGAGAAGTCAGCCCAGATAGGACGGGATTGGAAAAGGACACAGGGTTGAGGAGATGGAGTTATTTGGCTTGTTTAAAATCTCAGTGTCAGGTCCACCCACTCCTAGAGCGCTACTGCAGACTTTATCAGGGGTTTTCCCCTCCTGTAAAGGACCATCCCAGTCACTTGCAATCTTTTGCCTTCAGGTCAGGCAGCAGCTCAGCCACTGATTTCACCAGCTTTCCTAGCCTGCGTTAATCAAGGCAGCAGTGGCAGAAGAGACAGCACAACCAAGTTCACCCAGAGTGCAGGCCAGCACATGCAGAACGTGTTTTTACACTCTGCCCCAAAATACATTGTCATCTTTGTTAGCAAGAAGGGCTAAAAACAAATAGAGACAGGAAACTCATGGTGCTGCCAGTTTGTTGAAGCTAGCTAAGACATTTATTTACAGAGGTGCTGAATAACTTGGCAGCTCTTAAGACACCTCTTTAAATCATGG